GGTGGGCTCTGAAGGTCCCTTCCCACCCAAAGCATTCCATGATTCTATGATAAAGGGATTGCTGAGGACATATGGATCCCATAGGAGTCTTTTTGTGGACATGACCGTACCCAGGTCCGCACTCCTGTGTCCCGTACTGGGACCATTAGCTTGATGGGTGACGTTCACTGAAAACCTCAGATGAGCTCCTTGCTTGTTGAGGTTGCTCTTTGCTCAGTAGCATGAGTAGCTACGTCAGGCTTGAAGGCTAGCTCTTCCAGAGCTGTGTTTTGATCACTCGACTAGACTACGCTAGATTGATGCTTTCTTGTGTTCTCCACGGTTGTGCTTCTGCCAAGCCAGCAGACAGACAATTTATTCCTCAGTGTCCTGATGAAAAGCAAAGTAACTGCGTACTCCTTCTCATTTCTCTGAATTTCTATCAGGTAATTTTTGTGCAGAATTGGCCTGTTTCAGTAACCTATTAGGGAACACTAATTCAGCGCATTTCCATTTGCAGAGGTAATAGTGTATTAATTTAAAAATAAGGGCGCTTTTTTTTTTCCGTGTACTTTATTCCATACCCAGTGAAACACAGAGATCTGAAGTGGTCATTTCTGAATTGAACCACATAAATATTTGTGTTGCAGAGTCCTGAATGTTCTGGTGCTGACATCTCTGAATACAGATTAGAGTGGGGAGAAGATGAGGAATCTCTTCAACTTGCATATAATGGCACAGATACCTGTTTTGAAATAAGTGAATTGTCAGCGGCAGCGCATTACTGCTGTAGGCTACAGGTATGGAAGTTATGAGCTTTTGCATGCATTGCAATCTAAGATGTAAACAGAGTTTCCTTCCACTGTGTTTTTATTTTTATCATTAGCCGCTATGAAGTTATGTGCTCTGTAAGTCAGAAGGAATGTACGTTTGTTTTAAATAATGCAGTCTGCTATATAACTGAACGGTTTAGATTTTGCACAACTCAGAGATAAACAAGGGAGTTGGTATAACTTGTAGCTCTTGAAAATTGCTCATATGTATTGTGTGGTTTATTTTCGGTGAGTAATGCTTTTAACAGCCACCTTGCCCTCTGATATTAAAACAAAATGATAATGTTTTAGACAATTCCCAGAAAAAATATTTTTTTCTTTGTAATGTGATGTAAACAATACCTACCTCCCAACTGGATGTTGAAAATTCCCCTAGCTGAGATAATAAACTCCAACATCTGTTTCACTTATCAAATAAAGCAAACTAGCCTAGTAGATTCCTATATATATAGGAGATGGTGGCTGCCAGAAAGCAAGGCCGCATCTTTACCATTTTTGTGTCTTAGATTGGTAAGACTGGGTCTCATATAGAGGCTCTATATGATTTCTTTTTCTTTGATCTCTTTCTCTCCTATTATTTTCAGTAAAAAGTAACAGTTAAAATATATTTCTTTTTTATATATGTATGAAAATAAAAGTACAGAACTTTTTCCCCTTTATGTCCACTGAGAAATAAGTGGAAAGTAAAGTAAGTGGGAGTGAAGTAAAAATATTTTTGCCCAAGATACTATTCCACAAGATGTATGTGAAGACAGAATACCACTAGTAAATCTGACCAAAAGTTCGTGTACCCACCCAGCTTGGCAATGTGTGGACCACCCGCTGTCGTTTCTTTGATCAAGGACAACATGCTTCTGTCAAGTATTTCCTTAATTTTTTTTTAAACAGAACTTTGAATTTTTTTTTTTTCTTTCTTTTTACGAAGTAGCTTTCAAGCATCTGGCCAACAGCCAAGGAGCTAGGGCCCCACACCTCTGAGTACACTCAGCTGTATTTTCTGGCTTGGTCATAGCTGGCCATATACCTTGCACTGGCACTGCTGGGGAAGGTGGATTGAAAGAGCATGTGTGAGTGGCTTGGGAGTGTGAGCCAGAGAAGTGCCTCTTGTTTGCACAGGAGGGAAAGTGTTCAGCATCCGCTGGGCAAGGAGGAGACCGTGAGACCGCTTCTGTGCGGAGCGGTGGGGAGCTCAAGGAGATATTAAAGTTAAAAATGGAAACAGGCAGCTGTATAGCATCTTTGATTTCAAGTGGGCGTTCATTTTAAATTACCTGCCGCAAAAATGTTGCACAAATTTACCCAGTTTTTAACACAGCTGATACAATTTAATCCATAGGCAGAAGTTAAGTGAAATGCACAACAGTGCTAAGACATTTTATGGAAGTCCATCAGTGACCCATGCATTACTTTCTAGAGGGCTTCATCCTCTAGATCTGATCTGTGTATTATATGGAGAAGAATTTGTTATAAGATACCCTGGAACATTTAAACAATTACCAAAAAAAAAAAAAAAAAGGTATAGCAGACAAAGAGAAAAAGTTAAATCGTTTCGGAAAGTTTAGTCTTTTAAATAAAAAGGAGAGAATAACACCTGTTTTTCTTACTGTTAGCAGCTTTAACAGAAAAAAGAAAATCTTTCTTTTACTTTTTAAAAATAAAGATTTCCCAAACCACATTTACTCTGCCTTCTAGTAAACACACAGTATTGCTATTTCAATCTACAGTAACTCAGTAAAAAGACAGAATTGAGGAATCGGGCATATATAATTGCAGGGCAGACAATTTGTCTTTACTGTTGCTCAACTTTTTTCCTGTAATGAATATTCCTGAAAACAATTGTGGCTTCTGCAAAGCGAAATATTGTGTCATTTTGTGGGGAGGAAGTATCTAGGAGGAGAAGACTGAAATTCCCATCACTTATGGTGATGAGATTGTCCAATAAAGCAGTTAAAAGCACCACTAAAAATAAATTGCTTGGAGCAAGATACAGATTGCCAAACACTGGTTTAGAGGCAAGACAAATAATATCATTGGCAGACCACAAAACAAGGCTCGCTTTTAACAGCTCTAGGAGCGCTTCACTAAATAGAAGATGTCCCTGGAGCAGGATTTGTTTTGAAGGGCTTTTTAAAGGCTGACAAATCTAACTTTATTATCTCTTTCTTCAATTGAACAAAATGCCTCCTGGAAGAACAGAACATGGCTTTTGTGTTTGTATTACGCATAGCAGAAATAAGTTATTCACTACAGTTAAGCATAGATAAGAAATCAAACAGTCGTTTGACATGTCCTTTCCTTGCCATCGTAGTCCTACTGACAACGTCGTAAACCCGGGTTTTCTAATTAATTGGAATCTGGTGAGAGACTCTGGGCTCACTTTTCCAAACGCAAAGGAAACGTGGATGGTGGACAATGCTGGGCAATGTCAAAAGCTGCTGTTGAAGGTCTGGACCTTCTGGACCTCCTGTAGCTCAGCCTGTACCAGGATATGCTATCATAAGCTCTCCACGTACCTTGTGGGCTAGCAGCGTGCTGGGCCGTATCAGGAGGAACCCAGCTAGCAGACCAAGGGAAGGTGGTATTGCCCGTTACATGCCATTCATGAGAAGCTGGAATTGTGTGTCCACTTTTGCTCCAGGCAGAGGTTGAAATAGAGATGTTCAGATGAGATAGAAAGAAAAAAGTTACCACTTCCCGGGTAATTGTGGTCCAGAGGGGCTGTGCAATCTCCATCCTTGGAATTTTTCAAGACCCGACTGGACAAAAATCGGAGCAACCTGGTTTGTATTCAGCTTTGACCCTGCTTGGAGTAGCAGGTTGCACCAGATGTGTCCCAAGGTCCCTTCCAGCCTGCATAGTTCTGGGATTGTGTGCACAGGAGCTTATAATAATCCTGAGGAGGCAATATTAGTCATTTCCTAGGCCATTCCAGTACAACATACACAGCATTTGCCACTGACTGAGCATCAACTGATAAAAAATCAGGTCTATACAATTGTGCAGTGTTGAGCTTGCAAAGACAACAGCCTCTGTAATTAACGAGCAGAAGTGGGCCAGATTTTGAAACTTGGTTTCCACTGGCATCCTGGATCTATGAGTCAAGATGAGAAGCTTGATAATCGGTTGCTTTCCTCTCTTGTGGAAAATATTGAGCTATGTGCTTTGGTGGTGGTTTGCTAGTGATTTGTGACTTCTAGGGAAATCTGAGTCATAGACTTAATGCCATGCTGAGTTCCTATATTCCTATATCAGAAACTTTTTAGCATGAAATTAGCTATCCATTCTCCGAGTTAGGAACCTGTGTAGCTCTCAGCAAGCCAAATGCCTCTTATGTCTAGGGGTACGCTGCTTGCATAAAGCATCTGATGTTGCACTCTGCAGTTTACTGAGGATTTTATACAGGGCGGCTCAACAATTTTGGGTAGCCAATTTGTGAACAACGTGATGTCACTTTTCAGTGACAGCATGGCTGTGACATTTTCCCTTACTAAACAAAGTTTGCTGCTGATAAAAAGGTTACTGTTAAGTTTGATTAAATAGCTATTAAGGAAAAGAGAAATATTATCTAATTTATCTGAGAGATATTCCTGAGTAATAAAGGAAGATATTAATTGCTGTAGTATAGGTAGAGGGTACGAGTCATGTTTTAGAGAATAAGCCAGTGGTGCAATATCCTCTGAAGAATCCATGCAGCTCTTCCAGACTGCGCAGTTCATTATTACGAACTCAATACACATGTGAAGGAGAACATTTATCCTGTAAAAATATTTTGTTTTAAAAACACACAGGCTATTAACCAAGCAGGAGCTGGACCCTACAGTGACCTGGTAACCTGCAGAATCCCCGCATCTGTGCCCGATGCAGTCTCTACCCTCTCCGTGCTGGAGGATGAGCACGTGGATGCCTATCAACTCTCACCCTCTGTGTGCCTTGTACTGAACTGGGAAGAACCATGCAATAATGGAGCTGAGATTACATCATACAACATTGACCTGGGTGACATCAGCATTCCAGTAGGAAATGTGACAAGTTACGTTATTAATGATTTGCTTCCAGAAACCTCATACCGGTAAGTACAATTTTTTTGATGTGGTGCAGAGCATTCAGGATGAGATCACAGCTTAATTTTACATAGGAAATGTTTATGGCATGTGGAGCGAGTTAAAAAAAAAACAAACCAAACCAATGACAACCCAAACAACCAATCTGGTGAGCATAGAAATCTGCAATAATTCCTTTATGGAATTAATTGCGGTTGTTCATGTTCAAATATTGCTTTCTCCCACCCTTTGTCCGCTTTCTATTCTCCTTGCATTATCTCTGACCTTACCTGTCCTTCTTTTTAAGTTGCTCTGCTCAGGTAAGGTTACGCTGGTAGGTAAATAAATTTTAAAAATGGGAAATAACTAAAATTACAATGCGACATCTCATGTTTTTTCAGATGCTTAGCAGTACTATTTCAGGGGTTTATATTACTAACTGTATTGATCCCTGTGAGGGGAATAGCAATTCGCACGCAATGAACTTTTATTTGTATAGCTACAGCTTTTTTTGTTTCTAGCATATGGAGATTAATGAAAAGATAATCTGAATTTAAAAATGATTTCTTTATATTGTTTCAGAGTCTAAATTTCTAAGTGACATAGCCAAAATCTTATTATTATTTTAATGTTCAGGCTTACATGTTTTTTCCCCCTAATTGCAATTCCCCCTAAAAAAAAAAAAAAAAAGTTCCATGCAGGCAATGAACAGCAATACAGCAGAAGATGTGACGAAAGAAATTCTATTTTAAGTACTGTTCTAATGAAAACTGAAATATGATTGCACAGTTGTAAAAACAGCACAGACCTTCTGTAATATTTTTCTTTTTTTTTTCTTTGTATTCAAGGTCACAATCCTACAGGTCTTGTAGAGTTTAAATTAAAGGTTCATTTCTCAAATTTTGTCATGTGCCCAAAAAAGAGAATTTCTTGTAGCAAGTATACAAATATGTATACTGGAAGTTATTTAAAGCAGGGAACATAGATTGCTTGCATTGCATAGTACAGTGGTTCCTGATCTTTGCCTAGAATATCTAGGTTTTAAAACCATGTAATAAAAAATAAAGATGTAGATTTATTAAATATATATATATCTCCCCCCCTCTGGCAATCTGCAAAAAGAAGGCGAAATAGGAATTTGGTGATTCAGAACCCCTCCATTCCAGATCACTCATATAAATCCAGGCAATGTGACTACGCTACCGCTGTCTCCAGTTCTCCAGTGGCTTGTAATGCTGTCATCCTTTTTGGCAAAGGCAGTAATGAAGTGTAAGCTTTTTCTAGTCTTCTGCTGTGTTTATTTAAGATCCTAGCTTTGTGCTATATTTAAGCTAGCATTGCTGTCAAAGGAAGCCTCTTCTTCTCTCCTTGTGTTGTCCCCTCTTTTGTGCCAGCGAAGTGCTATCGCACCATTCCAGGCTGGGAAAACTGGTCTTGATGAAAATTAACCATATTTTTTACCTTGTAAATGGGTAGAGAGAAAGGAAGGACATGCTGGCTTAAGCTGGTTTAAGGCATCTGTGAAAACACTGCACATGAGTAAAGCTGCACAAGGGTTGGAGCCAATTCCAGTTGCTGTTGTCCTGCTTCTGACCTCCCTCCATCTCCATGCTCTCCCACGTTCCTCACTCCCTGCCTTGAGTCAGCACTGGTGCTTATTTGATCTTACTCTAAGCCAGACTAGGAAACCCAACTGATTGAAGACTAATCAAAAACCTAATAAAACTAGTAAGTTGAAGAGTTTGTCTATTGACTGGCTACCCAGCTGTGGAACTGCATCATCTTTGGGCAGTCTTGTACTGCCTGGTTTCTCCTCACATGTTCAATCAAGAGTCAAAACAGCTAAAGCAGAATGAGAGCCTTTGAGCAACACAGTCAAGACAGCCAGAATGGACCATCTAAATTCTTCACTGGAGTCTTCCTTCCTCAGTCTCTTTTTTAGCTGGATCTTGGTTGTCTACAGCTTCCTTTAGGGAAATGTCCTTGTCTTCAAAGCCTGGAAATGGGGATATGGAATGAAATGATGGGCAGGACATTACTCTCCTTTATAGTCATGCTGCAGTCTTGTCTGTGAAGCTCTTACCCCTGCTGCCTTGAGGGTTGGTACACTGAGATCGTACTGGATTTTTTTTTAATTATTCTTATTCGGTTATTTTGTAAAGAGCACCATATTAAATCCCATTTTCAGTCAGGGAGTCTGCTTGTCTCTGATCCAAATGAAAAGGCTAAAGCACAAGCATTAACTGCAACTGTTCTAAATATTGTTGTAAGACTAAGTTCCTACCAAAAAAAAATTACTGTGAAGAGCACAAACCAGTGGATGGCTAATCAGAAGTAATAATATATGAAAGCTCTTTTCTTAAATAAAGCAAGAGAAAGAAACTCCCAAATGCATCTCATGCCTGTCAGGGAAGACAGGTGACTGCTGATGAGTTGCAAAAGCACATCACCTATAGTTTGAAGTATTTTTCTGCTAATAAAAGTAGACACGTCAAAGTGTTTTTGCTATCAATCATTAACTCTTTCATTGATACTTCTTCTTCAAGCCTATCTTGACACCTGTCTTTCATCAGGGAACATCTGTGCCCAGATAAATGTATCCATAAGAAACGCGTTTATCAAGCTGTATGTTAAAAGGTGGTGGGTTTTTGC